CGGGGGCGGGGGCGGGTATGGGGGTGGGGGCGGGGGTGGGGTGGGTATTAACATCCCTGTCCCCGACTCCGCCCCCGATTTTATCAATTGGAGAAAACTCGAACTCGAACCCGAACCCGAACCTGATAAACACGGGTTTTTCCCATCCAAATCGGGGAAGGTTACCCACGGGGACGGGTTAGATTGCCATGCCTATATCTTAGGAATGGTTTGAGGTACCTATATCAATGTTAGGAAAAATAAATTATGTGTGATAACAATTGTGAATAAGTTATGGTGTGAGTTGATTATGAGCGACTTGAGATATTTTGGTGATAGTGATGCCTAAAGAATTAATGTGTGATATCAATAACTTTGCGAGACTAGTTAAGTTATTAATTTAGATGCTTAGTTTGATGTTGATCTCATAGTGACTATGGTTGAGTTATTGACATGATTAGATGATTTCATAATGATTCTAATTGAGGTGTTTTCAGACGATATTTTGGACATTGTTGTGATTAAACTGTGAATATATCACTCTTGTGTGTTATACATGTTGCGTTTGTTTATGGATCATATGATGCTCATGCAACATGAAATCTAAGTTGAGGCTTAGCAAGGACAAAGTTTGGGCATGTTGGCCTTACAGTGATATGAGTAATGTGTATAATGTGTACTTGCGATATTGTCACTAGTGGAAAATTAGGATACTATGTCACCCATTTTACGTCAGACATACAAACACCTGACGTAATAAAAACACGGTCTGGTGCGACTCACTCTTTTGAATTAATAGTAGAGACACCAACTAGTGGTTAAGTTTATACTTTTGATGTCTGTTTAAAGTGTCCTTTGAGTATTGATGGTAGAAATTTCATGGTTGACTTAATTTTTTTGCCTCTAAGTCAGCTAAATGTTATTCTGGGTATGGATTGGTTATCTTCCAATCATGTCCTTTTGAATTGTGCTGATAAATCTATTATTTTTGGCAAGCCTATTGAAAAAGTGAGTAATGACTATTTGACTGCCAACCAAGTTAAGGTATCTTTACAAGAGGATGCCTAAGTGTACATGTTGTTAGCTTCTTTGAATTCTGATAGTAATGTTTTGGTGAATGAACTGCCTGTTGTGTGTGACTTTTCGGATGTCTTCTCTGATGATATGTCTAGCTTACCACCTACAAGAGAAGTAGAGTTTTCCATAGACTTAGTACTAGGAACAAGACCTATTTCTATTGCACCTTATATGATGTCACCCATAAAGTTGGTGGAGCTTAAGAAACAAATAGAGGACTTGTTGGAGAAGGGGTTTGTGAGGCCTAGTGTATCACCTTGGGAGTACCCGTACTCTTAGTTAAGAAGAAGGATGGTAGCATGAGATTGTGTGTAGATTATCGCCAATTGAATAAGGTAACCATTAAGAATAAGTATCCATTGCCTAGGATAGATGATCTTATGGACCAGTTGGTGGGTGCTTATGTATTTAGTAAAATTGACCTTAGATCGGGGTACCATCAGATTAGAGTTAAGGGTGAGGATGTACCTAAGACAACATTTAGGACTTTATATGGACATTATGAGTATCTAGTAATGCCTTTTGGTGTGAAGAATGCTCCTGCTTTTTATGGATTACATGAACCGAATTTTTCATCCGTACTTGGATAAATTTGTAGTTGTCTTCACAGATGACATACTAGTTTATTCCAAGACTAAAGAGGAACATAAGGAATAGTTAAAGGTAGTACTTCAAACCCTCAGGGAGAGACAACTTTATGCCATGTTGTCTAAGTGTGATTTTTGGCTAGAGGAGGTGAGTTTCTTAGGACATGTGATTTCAAGTGGGGGTATAGCAGTAGATCCATCTAAAGTTGAGGCGGTGCTTAAGTGGGAGACACCTAAGTCAGTTAGTGAGATTAGGAGCTTCCTTGGATTGGCTGGATACTATAGAAGATTCATAGAGGGATTCTCTAA